TGACGCCGCCAGTCAAGGCGGCGCCGCCGCCCGAGCTGCGGGCCCGCCCGTGGCCGGTGGAGTCTCTGTCGGCCAGGCCGGCCGCAATGGTGCTGAACGAGGGGCGCACCGGGGCAGGCTCCGCGCCGCCCGCTCCGCTCATCCGCGCAGCGGGCGCCTCCAAGGCCTCCGCCGGGGGCGCCGCCTCTGCGCTGGCTGCGACCCCCGGCCCCGCCAGCGCCGGCGCTGCGGCGCCTGAGGACGGCCCCAGGCCCAGCGCCGGCGCCACCGCGGCTGGGGGGGGCTGTGAGCGCCGCCGCCAGAGACGCCGCCTGCTGGAAGCGCTGTGCATTCTGGCAGGGCCCGCAGCGGCACGACGAGAGGTGGACGCCCGCACTGTCCAGCACGGGCGGCCCCTGCGGCTCGGTTGGGGGCAGGCACGGACTCTCCGCTGCATCATCCCCTGTAGCGGCCACCCACCCAAGCGGAGAGAGAGAGAGAGAGACTACGCCGACGCCTCGCGCAGCTAAAAGCCACGCTGCAAGCGGCGCCGCGTCGGGTTAAGGAGAGGGGTGTGTGTGGTGAGCCACACCCCCCATCGTTAAGACCAAGGGGCATGCTCACGTGACGCCGCGCCCTTGACGCGGCCGTAATGGCGAGCAGTTGTTTGCATGCAGCAGTTGCTTTCGGCGGCCCCAGACAGCTGTCATGCTCTCTATGGCGTGCAGGTTGAGTTGCTTGAGCAAGGTCTTGTGTTTCTCTTTTGGTATCCCTAGGTCAGCCGCGGTCGTGATCGTGCCTGCGTAGATTGCGCCTCCCACACCCAGTGTAATCACATGGAGGTGGACCTGCCGGCGCGCCTTCTGCAGTTCCGCAATGAGTGCGGCGTGGCCGCTGCAATTGTTGGGTCTGGGTTTGTGTCCCTGCAGTACTTGATTTCCACAACATGAATGTGTTCCGCCGACCCTCTGCCTGCTGCCGGCACGTGCAGAATGATGTCGGGAACGCTGTATGTGCCCGCTTC